CGTAACCACCATTTGGTTCGAGTCTTGCCATCAAATCAGTGAAGTATTTCATCACTTCCTTCAAAGTCGACAATCGGTTCACATCTGGAGTCCAATTGAGTCCAACGACCGGTCGGTTAATATTTTGCACCAAATGGTCATACAATGCAAACCCCATCTCCAGAGTCGGCATTAAATACAATGGCTTTCCGTTTGAAACACCATTGAGTCTGACGTGTGTTTCCACAGGAATCACAAACTTATACTTCGAGAGTAAAATTTGAGCGCTTTTTATACCATTGAAATAGGCTTTGATGTTATGATCGCCTCCGGACTCAAAGTCCCGAAGAAGTCCGACAGACATGTCTTTAATGAGCTTTAGTTTAATGGTTTGATTACAGAGTTTTGCCAATTCTTGCTGTAATTCTGAGGCAAATATGGACTCAATTCCGATCTCTCCTAAAGTGATGTCCGCCGGAGTGGCCGACGGGTCGATACCCAGAGATCCCCACAACTTATTGATGAATGATTTCGAGCCCTCTTTGGCCTCAGAGTCCAACTTTAACAATGAGTTCTCCACTGTTTTCACCTGTTTTTTAGTGGAAAAAATTACCGTCAATTTGATAACTCTGTTAATATCGTATTTGGAAATTATCTGATAATTTAGCTTATGTTGTAAACTGATGTTGTGATCACATATTTGCAAGTATTAATTAATGAACATTATTATGTTTAACTTATTAATATTTTTTATGTAAAATGTTAATTAATTTATACATACATTTACGGTTATAACCGGGTATTTAACGGCCAATAGTTTGTCCAATACTTCACAACACGAATGGATCCGTTGTTTCTGAGTCGTCAAGAATGCAAACATTTGTGTCAACTCAGTCATCGCCCCGACGTCACCGATCGGACCAAACTGTATGGCCAGACCCGACAGGCCGTCCCTCTGTCTCTGTTCGCAAATGCGATCGCAAATAGAGTTACCGTAAGTATAGTTCAGTTGTCCCTCGACTCCCATTCCCACCGATACCGACGAAAAGACCACAAAATGGTCTAAATTATAGTCCAATTCTCGGCTCAATTGATCCAAATTCTTGCATATCTTCTCTTTGATGTCAACGGTTCTCATGAATGCATCGAAAGATATTTCACTGAAGAGACAATTGTTTAACTCGAGGGCCAAATGAAAGACACCACCGATGGGTGCGCCCAACCCTTTGCACTCATTTAGCAGTTGTTTTGCGCTCTCAATAGTGAAACAGTCGGCCGAAGAGACGATTACTTCGTTCTCAAAAGTTTTGTTTGTTTTGCCGAAAGCTTTCAAACGATTGATAATATATTTCTGGTAATCATTTTTAATGCCCGAACGGGAGGTCAACACCAATCTCTTCGCCCCGTTATATACCATCCATTGACACAACTCTAACCCAAAGCCACCCAAACCTCCGGTTATTATATAAGTCTTATTGGGATTGAA